CAAGCTCAATGCAGATGGTTAGAAAGAAAATGGAACCGATTGGCTATGTGTTGATTATCGGGAACTTAATGATAATACGGTCGCTGACAAATATTCGCTGCCTTTGATTTCTGATCAAATTAATAGACTGCGTGAAGCCAGATATTTCTCCAGTTTATAAATGGCAAGTGGTTTTTACCAAGTTCCAATACACCCTGACTCTATCGAGCGAACTGCTTTTGTCATGCCAAAAGGACAATATGAATTTTTGGCCAGGCCTTTTGGATTGGAAAATGCTTCCTCGATTTTTCAGCGCGCAATCGGCTTCAAGCGGTCTTGGAAAACTTGTCTAGAGCTAGATTCTCCTTTAATATTGCAAGAATGAGCATATATTCTTGAAAACGAGCATAGAATAATTAGGATACTTAGTTGAAGCGATTAAATTCGACCAAATCCACGCAAGATACAAGCGTTGGCCGAATTGCCGTCACCGCAGTCAGTAACACAGGTGCGACAATTCATAGGCCTAGCCTCGTATTTTAGGCAGTTCGTACCAAAATTTTCTGAGCAGAGGAAAGCTTTATATAATCTCACCTCCAAAAATAATAAATTTGTCTGGAAGCCGGAATATGAGGAAATTCGTCAAAAAATCATATCAATTTTGACGAATGACAATTTTCGATCTACTTAAGCCAATTGAACTACACACAGACGCAAGTTCTATTGGATATGGTGCTATTTTAATGCACAAGATAGAAAATAGACCCTGAGTTATTGAATATTAGAGCAAATGTACGACAATGGCTGAAGCAAAATATCACTCAAACGAGCTTGAGACCCTCGCGGTGTGCAACGCAGTAAGACACTTCCGCCATTATTTACATAGGCAAAAATTTATTGTGCATACAGATTGCAACTCCTTGAAAGCAAGTATCAAAAAAAAAATTGACCTAGCCCCAAGGGTACATCGATGGTGGGCATATCTTCAATCATTCGATTTCAGTATTGAATACAGGAAGGGAAAACGCATGTCGCATACTGATTTTTTCTCGCGCAATCCATGGCCCATTGATTATAAATCCTCAGCGAAAACGGGTGAGAGCGCATAAACCTAGCTGAGATAACCGACGATTGGCTTTTAGCCGAACAGCAACAAAACCATGAAATGCGAGAAGCTATCTCAGCGACGAATTAAGAGCAGGAGTGTTACATCGAAACATTCAAAGAAATGGCAGCCCAAAATGTTTGCCTGTAATGTCATTAATAACGTCCATGAAGCCATAATGCATTTAGGAAGAAAACTCTAGACAAAATGTATGCCAACTATTGGTTTAAGAAGATGTCTAAATATGTGAGAAAGTTTGTAGAAAATTGCATTACCTGTAGAGTATCAATTCCACCATCTGGAAAGCCACAAATAGAAATGCACCCGATTCCTAGAAATGACATACCCTGGCACACTGTGCATATTAAAAGTTAACCGAAAAGTTAAGGGGCAAAAACGACTTGAAAGAGGATATCATAGCTTAAGTTGATGCGTTCACAAAATTGGTTCACTTTCAAGATACGCTGAACCTTGATACGGAAAACTGCATTAAGGCAGTCAAAGAAACCGTTGCACTACTCGGAGTGCCGGATCGCATCATAGCTGATCAGGGTAGATGTTTTGCTAGAACAAGATTTAGAGAATTTTGTTCTTCACAGAAAATAGGTTTACACCTGACTGCGACGGGCGCCCGTCGAGCAAACGTCCAAGTAAAGCGTGTCATGAGAACCATGATGAGCATGCTCAGAGCGGTTGAGAGTAGTCAGCGATCCTGGCAAGGCGCTTTAAAGAACATACAGCTGTCAATAAATTGCACGACAAATCGTGTAACGAAATATAGTCCGTTAGAATTGTTAATCGGTAAAGAGGCCGTTAAGAATGATAACAATAGCAGATGAAAGAAAAATTGATAAAGATTTAATAAGAACACAATCCAAAGATAATATTGTAAATAACGCTAAATATGATAAGGCTAGGTTTGACAAAAATAAAGCAAAGATTGTAAAACATAAGCGTGGTGATCATGTCCTATTCAAGAGGGAAGAACGAAACGAAGTTAGATCCCAATTTTAAGGGACCTTTTGAGATAATTAAAATACTTGATGGAGACAGGTGTTTATTAAAGTCATTCACGAGTAAGCGCACGTTTAAGTATGCGCATGAGCATTTGCGAGCTTTTCCAAGCAACACTGTATCGGAGGAGTTGATAGATTTGAGAGACGATGAGTGTGACAATGTTGAGGACCGTGGTCAAGACACTGTGGCACTTAGAGAGAGAGCGGTTGGGCACGATGGCTAAGACCGCACCACAATAAACACGCCGAGCACAAGTGCTGTGATATTGTGGCGGGGGTCAAAGGTTGAAAGACCTATATGGATCCGCTCCATGTTATCGTTGCTGGGCAGCAAGAGCCTATCGACGTGTAATGACAGAACAACAAAAAAAAAAAAATCAAAATAAATAAGTAAAATAAAACCTACAATGACCGATGATACTGCTGTTTGTAAAGTGATTCTTAAAGTAAAGTAATGACTATTCAATTTTACCCAACAATTTTGACTATGGCATGATCTAAGCGAAATGTACACACGAGGGCGTGTGAAATGTCAGGAAGGCCGTGTCGTGTATCCAACAAATTATTGTGAGTATTATTTTTGAAGGTTAACGATTAAGTGTTAGTGAGAAACAGAGAATTTGACAGAAGGTACTGCTATTCAACATAACTGTCCTACTTGCATTAGGGTTGCTAGTGAAAGCATGGTGTGAGACAAAGAAGATAGTCTCTGCCGAGCATGGCCCGAGTGAGTGTTCACTAACAGTTCTAAAAGTCAGAGAAGAATGTGGAATGACATTCATTCATTCATTCTATTCGAAAAGTGAAAGTCATAGCGATCGGACGTGCTCCTAAGAATATAATTTTTGTGTGACTACAACGACACTTGGGACTGGCTGTGCTGCCAGTATGCCTAATTGCAAAGGAAGTGATTTCTCTGATCCGACATATATATATATATATATATATACCCATATACAAAAAAATACATCGATCAGCGCAAAACGTTAATTTACTTTGTTGGGCCACACTAAATCCTAGGCTGTGATAAAAAAAAGAAACTTTGAATTAAACTCGACAAACCGAGAGCCGCGCATACATTTTCCGGGCCGAGAAAGCGGGTAAGCCATCCTAAAACAGGAAGAGAGGAGACGCCAAGGGCGAGCTGCAGCGGGCGAGACGACGACGACCAAAGTCGGAAAGCGTGGCGAAAGTCAAGTGAGTCCGTTCCAAGCACTCCCACACTCAGCCCAGTCAGTCAAACTGACCAACTGAGCATTTGATGAATCAGGTGCTATCCCGTATGACGAAGGGCTCCAGAGCGGAACGTATTTAACGTTGGTACCGCCGAAACCACACAGACAAGGCGCGCGTAGGAAGAGGTATTAACCCTCCAGACCGAGGTTTGTCGGGCGTCCTCAGGCTAGGAATGGGCGCAGCGCCAACAACCGAAACTTCCGGGTAGAGGACCGAAGAGCTGGCGATTTTCCGGCGGAGGCGGACTATAAAGAATTTGAAGGGGCATACCTAAAGCTCGAACAGGGGAACAGCGGGTTTGACGGCAACGACGCCACGGATCCCGTCAAAGACTTCGGTTTCCGAATGGAAACCCGGTGTTGACATCTCAGGGTCGTAGGTGAGGCGCTCTAATTAGCCGGCTGGGCGAACAAATGTAGAAAATCCACATGCAGATTAATTGTAAACACGTCAACCGTTGGTTTTCAAAAATCTGCGTGGTAATGTTGCATTTGACGTTATCGGCAGCATCGATTGTTTGCTTCGTTGGTTGCGTGCAATATTACCGGCCACGCCGATATCTTTTTGTCGTATGAGCAGGGTAGCGGGGGTACACAGAGGCACCCAATTTATTGAAGAGTGGCAACGCCGGGCTTGCGATCCACGGCGCCAAAAGGGGCGATTGCTATTGGCCGCCCGATTCGCTCCTAAAGAGATTATAGATAGGGAGAGCGGATCGCCTGCCTTTGGATATACCCTTGGCCTTCATTTGGGCTGTTGACCCAAAAAATGCAGCTGTGCAGATGGGCAGTAACGGTGCTTGCCTCGTATATGTATGCGTATGCCGAAATGCGGCACCGTTGATGTTGCTGCGATTGTCAGCCGTTAACGACAAGCATGTTAAATTGATGGGCAATACAAGTTGGATAATTAACTTGATTTGTAGCATTTCGGTGGTAGCGGGAAGGTGGCGATAGGTATAAAATGAAAGATACTTGATATATATACTATTCTAGAAGCTACATGTCAAGTTTGGTGACTCTAGCTCATATTATTTGCCGATATTGCTCAAAAAACAGTATTCCGATATCGATTTTTATCGATTACTTGAAAACGGGGCAAGTTATCGAATATCGGAAACAAACAAAGGACCTACAGTCCTAGCTCTTATAGGTTCTGAGATTCTTGCGTTCATATATACGAACGAACGGACAGATGGACGGACATCAGCCGAGATAAAAAAAAAACCTTAAAAAAATTAAACTCGGCAAACCGAGTGCCGCGCATACATTTTCCAGGCCGAGAAAGCGCGTAAGCCATCCTAAAACAGGAAGAGAAGAGACGCCAAGATCGAGCTGCAGCGGGCGAGACGACGACGACCAAAGTCGGGAAGCGTGGCGATAGTCAAGTGAGTCCGTTCCAAGCACTCCCCTCCCCAGACTCAGCCCAGAGACGGCGTGCTGCTGACATCAAGCTGCAGTTGTTTTTCCTGTTCATAGATTAAAGTTTTTGTATAAATTAAATAATATTTCTCACTTTGCGTAGTTCACCTGGTAAAACTAGCAATTAATCTAGTAACAGGAGAGAACGTCCCCAAACACTATTTCAAACACTATTGAAAAAAACATAGTAATTTCGATTCCACACGATCCATACATACAAAAAAATCATTTATTTCCATCGCCCTTAGCGCCCCCAGGGCTCTTTAGGTAGGTTAAGCGTACTTAAGCGATTTGATTCCTACAAATTTCTCTTTTTTATAAAAGCTTCTTTACAACATTCCATTGTTTTTTCAGCGTTGTAACATATATATAATTATGTATATATAAAATTATATACGTGCACGAACGTGTGGGGACCAATCGCTCAATTTAATATTTGTTCTCCCACGTGGTCCCCAACGGCGGTTGGCATTAGCTTTCGCTGACGTCTTTTCCTTTCTTCGTTTTGTTCGGCTATAAAAAATATCCACAAGCATGAGAACGTAAATAACTGAGCGGAGATAACCTGCAAAGATACCTGCAATAGAAGCAATATTAATTGTCAATAATTATAAGAATACACGAATAATTATAAGCACCTGTGAAGTTGAGGGAAATGTCCGCTTGCATGAGATTGTAAGTGGCTGCAAAGATAAATGCAGTAAGAAATGATATTAATTGTTATTAATTTTAAGAAAACACAACCAATTATACGCACATATTGAAGGAAAAAAATGTCCGGCTAAGTTTAAATTGATGGTGAGAGTGGGCATAACAGCCGACACGGGCTGATGCAGGCCATCTAGTGGCCAAAATGAGGGAGGCGAGATCAGGTGATCGTCTCAGGTAGGGCGGGTACGCTGGGTCCGGAACCGGGGACCGATCTGGAAGAGTAAAGTGGATAAACAGTGTTTTTTTTTTGTTAATTTATATTGACGGTTTTGATACAGACGTTGTAGCTTTGTTGATATCGATTGTGCGAACTGCGGGCCAGGAATGGGACTACGCCCAAGGAGCCGATGAGCCAGCCGGCGCGGACCACCGAGAAACAAGCAGTCACGAAACAATATTACACCCCATGTTAATGCAAAAAAACTATCAGCAAAATGTACTTACCATTTTTCTTTATCAAAATGCCGGCAATATTTTATCAAATTTTAACATTTATTATTTAATGCCTCCGATAATGGCCCTAAATGCACGGTAGATTAACATATAGACCGCGAATTATCACTCATTTTGCATTTTACTTCAAGAAAATCATCCAGACAGTTTTTAAGAAATTCTCAATTTTCTATTTTCATATTACACCCCATGTTAATACAAAAAAAACTAGCTGGCAATATTCACTTAACATTTTTATTAATTAAAATGGTGGGAATATTTCATCAAATTTCAATCTTTATTATTTAATTCCTCCGATAATGTTTAACAGATAGTCCGCGAATTATCAATCATTTTGTTTTTTACTTTAAGAAAATCGTCCAGTCAATTTTTTAGGAATTTTAATTTTTATATTTTCACACCCCATGTTAAGGGAAAAAAATAAGCTGGCAATATTCACTTAACATTTTTATTCATCAAAATGGCGGCAATATTTTAACAAATTTTAACCTATATTATTTAATTCCTCCGATAATGGTCCCAAATGCAAGGTATCTGTAGATATAGAGCACGGTTTATTAATTATTTTGCCTTTTATTTCATTTAAATCATCGGTACAGCTTTTAAGAAATTCTCAATTTTCTATTTCTCTCATAACATCCTATGGTAATGAAAAATAAAATCTGGCAATATTATATTTCATACGTAAAATGTCGTCAATATTTCACCCTATATTTATTAATTTCTCCGATAATGGCCCCAAATGTCACGGTAGTGCATATAGAGCCTGCCTGCCTGCCCGATGCACATTTGGTCATTACGGTCAGAATGTCTAGCATGCGTCTGCATCCATATCAAAGAGAAAACGAGCGACAAGTGCGGTTCACCTGTTTTCATTGACTGTTCACACACTTGTGCCTTTTGCGGCCGCAAGCCCACCGCAGGCATGCCAAAAAACTAAGACCGTGCCTGTCGCCCAAATTAACGCACCCATTGTGCGTCTCCCTCTGTCTCACGACAAACCCTTGATCTGCCTATTCGCACACATTTGTGTGTATGTGTGTGTGTGTGTTGAGCTCGAAATTCAGGAATGCCAAAAACTTCAAAACTTGTCAAATTTGCATCGGGCAGGCAGTCAACCAACACGGCACACAAATGCATAAATCCACCCATATAGAAAAGTATGTAAAAGTTATCATGCACACATGCCAACATTCAGGTACCCTTACCCTTACAACAAGCATGGAAAATAGCAATTTTGCACATGAACAGGCTAATCCTTTTATAATATTACACGACTGCTCCATCGAAAGAGTGTGATTGTGCACAAGTGGCAAGTCGCAAAAATTGAACAGGTTAAAGTTTTAGTTTTTTCTTCGAATTTTTCGACAAGCCGACAATGAATTACTCTTGCAGAAATATGACTTAGCTTTTTTTTATTTTAAGCAAAATTGGTCACCACAGTAAACAAAAATATTAGAATATATTTTTTAATAAAAATAAATCAGATTCTTCTCATTATTCCTGACTGGACGGAGAAATACAATATAGAGCATTTGAATGTGTGTACCTTTTGCTACCACAGGCAGAAAAGGCATCAGCCGCAGCGACCACGTGCGCTGGGCGGGATGCGGCTTCATACTTAACGTTAGGCTTTGGAGCGTGGCGTTCGGCTGCCACTCTCAGCAGTCTTACTCTATCTGGGCACACTAAAATGGTCGCAGGCACTAATGGGTCTCACTCGTTGCGATTTATCGTGTTTCGATTATTCTGCTGTTTGACATATCTATGCATTTTATAGTTGTTATAGTTTTATAGTTCAACTGTGCCCGCACAATACGGATTTGTTTCCGGTAATCGATAAATTGCCCGTCACAAAGCAATCGATAAGAATCGATATCAAAATCTCATTTTTTAGCAAATTTTTAGGTAAAAAAAATTTGACAATAGCTCCTAGAATAGCATATACAGATCTAGAAACACAGAAGTTATAAAATAAAACGTGTGGTTAATTGTAGGAATTTCTGTATACACGTACACACAAATAAATTTTTAGTTGCGATTGTATTGTTTACCGTGAACAAGTACGTGCAGCTATTTTAGATGACTTTTTCGCCAGAAAAATTTTTGTTTTGTTTTTCCTGGACCTTTTTGATTAGAACATATAAGGGCTTAGAGGGGTGTAACATTTGGCAAACCATCGGGTTGAATGTGCCAAAGACGTGTTCTTATCCCGCGGATATGTATATTAAATTCTCCAAATGAATTTTTATAATTTGTAAAATTCATATTAAACTGTCTCACAATACAGTACAACAGCAAATGGTTGGATGCATCCAAAGTAGAAATACCTTTTGAGATCTATTGCTAATTGTAGATGCGTACGCAAAGCGCAGTGCCAGTAAAAATGCAGTATAGATTAATAAGTATCAATTACTATTAATGAATTACGTAAAAATTGGGTTAACTTAAATCTTGAGTCATGCTGTAAATATGAGATTCCTGCTGTTGACTTGTGGTGGGCTTTGAAACACGTGGGAAGTTTCAAATATCTTTTTATACCCTGAATCCATTAAAAATGGGCAAATGTATGCAACAGGCAGAAGGAAGCATCCCCAACCCCATATAGTATATATATTCTTAATCAACATTAATAGCCAAGTCGATCTAGCCATGTCCGTCTGTCTGTCCGTCTGTCCGTCCAAATGTATGAGCGGAAAAATCTCAGAGCCTATACGACTTAGAGTCTTATCGAATGCTTGGAAACTAGGCAAGTTATCGATTATCGGAAACAAACTAGTACTGCGCGGGCACCAGGAGGACCTACATTCCAAATTTCAAGTCTCTAAAATTGTATAAACAGCATTGGAATTGCGATTGTATTGTTCTCTGTGGAGTGTGTATATGCTTTTCTGCTCGAAAACGAATTGTTGTTATGGCTGTCGAGTAGAGGAGTTGGCATTACTTATTTGCGCACGACCGCGTATTTATCTCAGAGCACCGCTGCCGAACGCGTGAACCGAACGGTGTTGTCTGCAATAAGGACATATTTGATGTATAATAGAATCCCGTCTTGGAATCACTCTCGGATCACAACGTTTCTTACCTCTACGCAAAAGACTGATTGGCCGTTTTCCGAGACGAAATAAAGCAGCCCCTATACACCATGTACAAAGTCACCAACCAAACAACGGGGCACCAATTTCACCCACAGCCAAGGCAGAAGATTTAGAGATGAAACTTCGTTCTTAGTAATTTCGGCAAAATCTTAATGGCAGAGTTCGCCAACAAGTTCATAAAGATTCACGTCGTACAATCTGTTGGCACTAATACATAAAAGTTAGAAGACCTTTAAGGCAGTTTCTTAGACGTGTTTTATGCGAAGGGTCAACGACTAAAAAAACCATTTCGTTCACTTATACGTTGGGCACTGACGGCGGCAGTATCAGCGTTTATATTGAGCGTAAGTTGTCCGCGCAGATAGCTTGTTAAGTAGAAAAAAAAAAGGAAATATTGCTTGTTAACATATTCTGTTTTTCGTTTTGTTTAGAATTATTTGCGTTTTTGCATTTCTTGTATTAACGGCAGCGGGGATCTATTTATTTATTCCATCGGTAGGTTATATCAGTTACATCAACTACCGAGAGGTGGTGCAACGCCAAATTTCGATCCACTGAAATCTCTGAGTAGTGGAATAGGGAGAGAGGATGAGCGGTTGCAGCCCGATTCGCTCTAAGAGGAGGAGAAAGCGAAACAGTCAAGTGTGATGTGCTGTGTGTAAAAAGACTAAGAATTTTAGTTCTAACTGTTAACACCCATATTTATTAAAAGTTCTCAGTAGAATTTTAGTTATTTTTTTTAAATTTTTTTTGCTTTTTTCTTTGTGAACAACTAAAAATTAATTCAACAAATATTTAATTTGGATACTGCTGCGTGGACACCTCAGCTAAAACTCCTTGCTAAAACATAATTTATGCTTTACTTGTCAATGTTCATAACTTTATATCAGAGTAATTATCAAGGTAGTAATCGCTTTAATCTTTTCATCAATGAATTCCCGCCGGCATTTCCTCTCCCTATGCCGATGATATTAAGTTATGGCTTGGATATAATAACATGTGTTACTTTTGGTATTATCGGCAGCGTCGATATTTATTTATTAGGTAGTCTAAGTATCGGTTGGTTGGCAAACACACAGAAGTGCCCAAATAACGGGATGGTGGCAAAGCCACCCACACGTTTAGCGAGGAGATTGTGGCAAAGCATTGGCGATTGCCCGTCTGATTCGCTCAGAGAGAGAGAGAGAGAGAGGGGGGGGCGTACCGGTTGCCCTTTGTAATGACCTTGACCGACATACAGATGGGCAGCAACGGTGACGAAGAATTTAAATGTATGCGCGTGTCAAAATTCACGTTGCTGTTCAGATTAAAGAGAGTACGACTTTGATTGCGGTTAACGGCGGGCGTAATGTGCGCAGAACTTTTTTTTTGAAAATTTGGTGTAGTCAAAATAAATGGGATAAAAGGTAAAAGGTTAATAAATAGAATCGCACCGAACAAAAATTTAAAATTCGGTAAATTATCGGGCCGAACAAAATTTAAAACATTTTTAGTCAAATCGAAAACTGAATAAAAACCCAATTATTGCAATGGGAAAAGAACGGATAAAAAAGCAGCACAGAAAAGAATACAATCGCAATTGCAATGCTGTTGAAAGAACTCAATAAAGACGCGTATGAATGTGTGTGTGTAAGTTAACGAGGGCCCCTCGCGCGCAACAGGTTGACACTTTGTTGTCAAGCAAAACAATGGCCAACAGTTGCGCGCATGATGCTGGCACAGCGGATTCTTGGTGGCCACCGCTCTCATTAAAATGGGCAGCGTAGGTAACCTGAGCCCTTGCCGGTGTCGCAAAGGCAGCGTTATCGGCTTGCCGACTGTTGTTGCAAAAGCTCCATATAATTATTTATATGCACCAGCCGCTGTGACTATTATACTTGCTCCGACATTTTGTCGTTAAATCTATTTGGATTTAATTACTGAATTACTGAGCCACAAGGCTGGTAATAGGAAGTTAAGTCCCATCCTAATCTTCGGACAGGTTACAATTTCGAAGAGAACAGCCATAGACGCCGCTGGACTAAAGCTACATCAGCAACGTTCGTCGCGGAACTGGCAGTGTAACATAATTGGCGACCAACGTTTAAGAGAAACTCACCAACATCTTAAACATAAGCTAAGAAAAGTGGGTTTTGCATATAATCGTCTTCTAAGTCATAAAAATTTATTTGTTTCATTGTGCCAGTACGTGTGTTTTGTGGCATCTGATTCTGGGTTTCCGATTATGTGCTTATAGTCGGCCATTGCAAAAACACGGGCAGGTGAAGTTTCTACCAGATTGTGAGGCGAGCATGAAAAGGAACGCATTTACGGTCTCGTATGCGAAAGCATTAGATGAAAAAGCTCACAATCACAAAACAAAAACAAAAATCGAGAAAGGCAGGAAACTGAGCGATCAGATAAAAATCCTCACTATGTTAGGAGATAGACCAAACAACAACAGCACAATCCTAGTCGGAACCAGAATAACAAGACAACGCAGTGACAGAGCCTATGGACGTCGACCCTTCCTCGTCAACGTTCAGGCTGCAGACAAGGATCAGGATCAGAATCATAATGTGGCAATGGCCTACTACATTTTTTAAGGAAACGCTCCCGGCTACCGTTCATTGAACGACAGCTAGCTGGGAGAAAACTAAAAATTTTAATCGAGACTGGGACGTCCAAGAACTACATAAGACCCATAAAGGAGTTGAAGAATGTATGGCCGGTCGATTCCCCTTTCTACACATACATGGTTTTTGGAACAACTGCTACCTTTTTCTTACTAGACTTGTTAACTCCATTTGACGGCATTATAGGATTCGACTTACTAGCGCAGGCTTGAGCGACCCTAGGTGCCGAGAGTGGTGCAATAAAGTATGGAACTGCATCCGAAAAGCAGCAGCACTACTATTGCAACAGTGTAAACTTCACTAACGTGAACGATATCGTAGTACCAGTATCAGTAAGAGCGGAATTTATGCAAATGATCCCTAACGGGGCAAAGGTTTTTTCGACCTCTAACGAGGCATTGCCGTTTAATACTTCGAAACGATTGATGACAACCTGGTATATTTCAAATTATACCCGCACCCCATGGGAGTAGCCGATTTCGTCAAAAAATAAATCATTGAGCTACGAAATGGTATCATCAGGCCCGTCATTGATTTTAGGAAGTTAAACAGTAGGAATTCTGTCGATTACCGTTTGGATTGAAAAACGTGGGAAGCATTTTTCAGAGAGACAAATCGGCAAGACATGTTATGTTCACGTCGATGACGTCATAATCTTCTCTAAAAACGAGAAATAGCACGTAGGTCATAAAGACTGGGTTTTAAAGAGTCTCTGTTTTGAGGAGATGCTAGTTTGCACCCCACTTCGGCCCCCTTTTATGTTTTATAAATTTTAATAAAAATCAAAGGAGTCTTTAGACTGCTTGTAATGCGTGATTTACTTCTCGAACTTTCAACAATAACTATCGATAGATTAGTGGTGAGCAATTTACAATGGTATTTTATGGTGGTTTAAAAATAATAGTATGTGACTTCAATATCGTGATTTGAGAAGTAAAGATATATTGTAATTCAGATATAATATTATTCAGAGGGCGTTCTGCTGCGAACATGCTCCCCCCGTTGGAAGATACAAGCTTTCAACCGATGTGGTCTCGATTGGCAGAACGGCGATTTTGGCAATGGCTCTCTTGACCAGACCATTTTGTGTACGAATGACTGCTACTCTCACAATGCCGTCGTCACCCGTGATGACGCTGTCGACTCGACCAAGCGGCCACCTGAGTGGTGGTGCATTGTCCTCCTTGAGCAGCACGATGCTGCCGGCCTGAAGATTTTGCTTGGACGATCGCCATTTCCCGCGCTCTTGGAGCAACGACAAATACGATGTACTCCACTTCTTCCAAAATGATTGCTGCATGTGACATATTCGCTGCCAACGGCTGAGGCGACCTATGCTTAGGTGAGTTATGTCTGGCTCGTCGATAGTGGCATTGGCTTTGCCCCAGATGAAGTGCCCAGGCGTGAGTATCTCCAAGTCATTCGGGTTTTCTGTAATAGAGCAAAGCGGTCTTGAGTTCAGCATTGCGGATATTTGACAGATGAGAGTTCGGAATTCGTGGAATGAGAGAAGAGAATTTCCAACGACGCGGTAAAAATTATATTTTGCTGACTTGACAGCGGCCTCCCACAATCCTCCAATCACGCCATAAGATGCATTGCAGAAATTGATCTGGATGCGTTATTCGGACACAGCGGTACATCTTACAGATGTCACCGCACATGGCAACCTTTAAAAAACGAAACTGAATTAGAATGTTGAATAATTTGGGTTGAATTGCTGGGCCTGTATGCAAAAGATCATTCAGAGATGCGCCTGATGTGGATTTGGCTGATCCATCAAAAACGACGCGCAATTTGGTGGTTGAGCAATCTGGCTTTTCTACGCAGTGGTGGGGTAAATAGAATTGTGGGACAAGCTGCTGCAATTTGTTTTCGAGCGACTTGAAACGTCGTAGAGCACGTTGATATGAGTCTCCTAGCGTGTCGAAGCTGAGCTTTGCTGGAAGCCTAACTGAATACTGCCCTGACTTTAGTCGCGTATAGCCTTGGAGAAATAGCTGCTCACATAGTGCGTCTTCATCAGAGAGCGCAGGGGTTGTACCGCAGCAATTGTCGACTTCCCAGAATCGTTTTACAATATCCGACAGTGGATCCTCCCATGGATTAGGTTCCTTGTAAAGTGCTGAAAGGGATGTGTGTTTGTTATGTACGCGAGAGAGTCCGCCAGACGCAATCCATCCGAGCTTGGTCTTTTGGAGCGTTGGTAGGTTATCCGCCATTCGAATTTGGCCGATGCAAATGAGATCGAAAAATAGTCCGGCACCAAGTAATAAATCTATTCTTTGAGATTTGAAAAACGTTGGATCCGCGAGCGAGATGTTTTTGGGGATATTCCACCCAGAGATGTCTAACCCAAAGTGGGGCTGATAATCCGTTATACTGCGAGTAACGACTGCTGAAAATGATGTGCTGAAGCTCCTATCACGTGACTGCGCTGATATGTCAGAGGACATGTTAGAAGATAGGGTTGATTCGCCTATACCAGATATTGATACGGCAGCATGATGAGTTTTGAGTTGGAGCTGCTTTACTAGACGAGCAGTGATAAGGTTGAGTTGTGATCCAGAATCCAGTAATGCACGGCAGGGTATGAATACACCTGAGTGGCTCTTGGCCTATAAGATGGCGGTTGGAAGCACCACATAGTCTACAGGCTGGGCATTCGTGGCTACAGGTGCGAATTCAAGAGCAGTGCTGACGAGAGTTGAAGATGGTGGATTACTTGAAGATGATGCGTGAGGCTGGATCGTGGTTGCAGCCTGCAAGCTTGGTGTACACAGGGCAGATGATTGAGTTGTGATGGGGCTCATGTGCAGCAACGAATGATGTTTTTGTTGACAATGCCTGCAGTGACCTGAGCGACATTGCTGCAAGCCATGGCCTTTGCGCAAGCAGTTTGGGCAAAGATGCAATCGCTTGGCCTCCTTGTTGCGCAAACTTGGGGACAGATTAAAAAACAACGGGCATTTAACAAGAAAAGGCTCTTTTGAGTCGCAAAAATTACAATTTTGCTGGTAATTGTTAGATGAGGATGCAATGAATGTGTTACGATTCAATTTTTGTACATTTCTGGTAACCTGGTGGCTAGGCGTAGGTGCCGTAGCGCCTTTCAAGTTTTCCATCATGCGGCATCTCTTCTCTAAGAACGCCGACATATCCGTCCACCTGGGTAGCTTATCCGTTGCAAGCGCTTCCTGCCACTTTTCCTGGGTGTGGTGATCGAGCTTGTGCGATATTGTGTGTATGAGTAATCCGTCAGCCAGCTCCTCAGTTGTTGACATGGTGCTAAGCGCCCGAAGATGCGAGTTAATTTTGTCACTCAACTCACGCAACGCCTCTGCTGATCCCTTTTCAACACCTGGCAGCCCGACTATAGCCCGCACGTGGCCCTGAAAATGTAGCAACTTATTATCAAAACGCTTTATGAGTAACTCCAACGCCTTGTCGTAATTCACGTCGACAGGCTCTAACGATTTGATTGTGTTGAGAGCAGTACCATCCAAGCACGCACGTAAATGTAGTAATTTCTCAATCTTACTCAGGTCCTCATTGCTGCCCATGACAGTCTTGTACATGGCGTAAAAATCCGGCCAATCCTCGTAGGAGCCGCTGAACCTGGGCAGCTGCAATTCCGGTAGGCGAGACTTACGGTTGAACAAGTGAGCAAATGTGTGCGTACTTTCAGCAAAGCGTGGGATAGTTGTTGAATTAGCGTCAATCATACGTCCCTTAGTGACTACATCCATTTGACGAGCGAGAGTGGATTTGATCTTCCAGTAAACCTTCTCGAAGTCTGAGCTTGCATCCGTTGAAAGCTCGAGCAAATCTAATTTTTCTAGCCTTGACTGGCTGATATCAAACTCGGCCTTCAAGCTCTCCGCAGATTCTATACGCACCATCAGATCGGCCTCGTCAAAGCTGATCATCTCACCAGCGCTGAAGAATTCGTTCATTGCTAATAGTTGGCGTTGAACAGAAGCGCATTTCAATTGTCGAATTTTCCATTCTGTTGTTGGCGAGGTAATGTTCGGTTGGTACGTTTTGTTGAGTGCTCACTGTACTCCGGCCTGTCACCAAAGTCCACTGATGGAGAAGAGCTTTGCCCTTGACCACTGCGAATGTCACAGAGTGAGCAATGCGAGAATGCGATTACCGTTTTATGTGTGCAGCGGCTTGTGTATGTGTATGTATCGAGATCAATTGTAGCGGCACTTGCATTCACATTCATATGTATGTATGTAAGTATGTAGGTATCTGCTCGACGGCTTCTTTTCTAAGCAAAGGGTTGTGCTTGGCACTGATATGCACCAAACAGCTTGGTTATAATAGCCGATCTGCTAAATAACGCGATAAGATCGTTAGAGAGAAGCGCGCACTCGAGCCGGTGTCCGAAATATGTAAATACATATGTACATATGTCTGCACTTGAGTTTAGTGCCTATGCTGCAGCAGCAAAAGAGCGATGAACAACGAAAGTGAGATTTGCGGCAAGACGAGAAGCAAGAAATAAAAATCACGTCGGGGTCACCAATGTTTTGAGGAGATGCTAGTTTGCACCCCACTTCGGCCCCCTTTTATGTTTTATAAATTTTAATAAAAATCAAAGGAGCCTTTAGACTGCTTGTAATGCGTGATTTACTTCTCGAACTTTCAACAATAACTATCGATAGATTAGTGGTGAGCAATTTACAATGGTATTTTATGGTGGTTTAAAAATAATAGTATGTGACTTCAATATCGTGATTTGAGATGTAAAGATATATTGTAATTCAGATATAATATTATTCAGAGGGCGTTCTGCTGCGAACAGTCTCTGTGAGGCTAACATGAAAGTCGCCAAAGTACTGAGTACTTTGGCTTCATAGTAGTCAGGGGCGGTGCAAAAACTGACCCTGAAAAGGTAAAAGCCATCTAAGAGTACCCGGAGCCAAAAACATTGTTCGACCTGAGGTCATTTTTAGGCTTAGCTAGATACTACAGATGTTTCGTCAAAGATTTCGCTGCAGTTGCAAAGCCAATAACAAATCTGCTAAAAGGCGAAAATGGCTCCGTAAGCAAGCATAAGTCTAAAAAGAGAGGCTGAAAAATATTTTACCTTCAGAAGACATCATACCCAGTTATCCTGATTACTGAAAACCATTCGATATAACGACGGATGCTTCTGTATATGGTATCGGTGCGGTACTGTCACAACACAAAGATAACAAGTAAGAGGTTCTAGTCGGGAGCTCCCGACTAGGGGATACCCTGAACCCTCTTCTTCCGACATCAAATGCAGCTCGCGCTTGTGTGGCTTAATTAGGGGCAATACAAGTTTGGTTATTAACTTGATTTATAGCTTTTCGGTGGTATCAGGGAGATGGCGATATACACTAATCTAGAAGCAACATATCAAGTTTGGTGACTATAGCTCTTATTATTTACCCAATTTGCTCAAAAAATAGGATTTCGATATCGATTGCTTGGAAACGGGGCAAGTTATCGAATATCGGAAACAAACTCGATCTGCGCGGGGACTAGGAGGACCTACAGCTAAAATTTCAAGTCTCTAGCTCTTATAGGTTCTGATATCCTTGCGTTCATACATACGTACGGACGGACGGACGGACGTACGGACGGACAGACAGACGGACGTGGCTAGATCGAGTTCGCTATTGATACTGATCAAGAATATATATACTTTATAGGGTCGGAGATGCTCCCTTCTTCCTGTTACATACATTTGCACAAATACAATATTCCCCTTTTACCCATTTTCAATGGGTTCAGGGTATAAAAATATGTTATACTTTTTACTTACTATACTATACCATTGTTAATAGATATTTACAGCTCACCAATTTAAAAGTGAGCTTAAAATCCCGTTTCCTATTTTGTTCATTAACAACTGAACATCTCAAAAGAATGAATCGAGTTCGAACCCTATCGAGAAGACTAATTTTATTTTATTTTTTGCTGGTGTAGCAAGTAATGCGGTCAGTTGCAAGTTCAATCCCTGCCAAGGGAACTTTTATTTTTTTTTTTAATTTATCTTTGTTACTACTAAAGAAAACGAGCGCGTAGTGCAAGCTGCATTTGGGGTTGGAATAAGAGGGCTCAGGGTATCCCCTAGTCGGGAGCTCCCGACTAGAACCTCTCACTTGTTTGAAACTGAACACATGAAAAATAATTAAACAGAAAATATAGTTCGCGTGCAACTGAATACTAAGAACAACGAATCGTTCATGATCGACTGCATGACTGAACTAAACGAATAGCTCATGACCGAATGAATAGCTGAGTAGAATTCATCGTTCATGACCGACTGAATAACTGAACGAGTGAACTAAATGACCGATTTAGAGTGAACTAAATGACCGATTTAGTTCACGACCAGAAAATGAACGAGTGAACCTATTCAACAAAAAGAACTAGAAATTCCCACACTAGTTGATGGTAATGTACTAGTATGGGAGCAGAGAGGCTACGTTAGACATTGTAGTAATCTAACGGAGTGCGATGCAATAATAGACGAAACAGGCAAACTGTCCGACACTTTTCCGCAATCCCACATGCGTAAATTACTAGATGTGGATTTATACCATGCTAGGAGTCTGTTGTCCGTTTTAAGAGTGCATCGCAGAATTTCCAGGACTTTAGATTTTCTGGGTACGGCACTCTAGGTACCACCTTGGCACACCAGATGCCAAAGATTTAGATATGATAAGGATGACGAAATCAAAATTGATCGAGTCAAATGATATGCAGGTAGTGATAAATACGGAAATCCAGAAACAAATAAACGTGCTTACGGATACAGTAAACAAAATAGTAAAGGCAAAAGAGAGCGAGTAGTTTGACACTCCACATCTCTATGAAGCGCTGATCGCAAGAAACAGAAGGCTAATAATTGAGATTCAGAACCTGAAGCTTACTATAACACTTGCGAAGTCCAGCATTATAAATCCTACGATCCTAGATTACAATGACTTTGAAGCCGTTTTGCCTGAGCACCCCACAGAGATACCCATAGTTAGGCTATTGGAGGCCTCTTCTATAAAGGTCCTCCAATCAGAAAGTATTGTTCATATTATAATCAATTATCCGAAGATAAAGTCCGTCTGTAGAAAAGTTACCATTTTGCATGTGTCACATGGACCCGATGTACTTCAGCTACAGGACGACATCGTAGCCGAGTGCAACAACGAAATTCTATCAGTCACCAACTGTGATGCAACCATCTACGCATCAATCTGCAAATTGTCTCATCACGACACTTGCGCTTGTGGGACGGCACACTGTCGCTCTCAACCGAGCCACTTAAAACCAATCACTGTTATAGATGATGGTATCATAGTGGCAAATGATAGCCCTGTAAAGGTCAGTACAGACGAAGGGACGGAAGTATCAATAAACGGCTCTGATCTGATAACATTCGAGCGTTCGGCCATGTCAACAGCGTCAAGTACATCTACCAGCGCGAGGCCTTAAGTAAGATGCTGGATATTGCGGCTTCCCCTTTACTCAACATCATAAGCCACGATCCGATCCTTACTTTGCCACTCCTGCACAGGATGAATTTTGAAATCCTTAATACCATCCGAGGCTTGCAAGAAAGGATGGACGCCGTGGGATCGCCCAAGACGTGGTGCGCTGCGGGACTTGGACTCAGCCTTGTGTTCAGTGCCCTCATCTTCCTCGTTGAACGATTTAGGAGGAAGCGAGCTTCGAAGGAGATTCAGAAGGTCGTCGAAAGCTTTATGATAGCCGGGGAAACCCATGCTTCAAAAGGGGGAGTAGTTGACGAGTGCCGACACAGCGGATTCTTGGTGGCCAGTGCTCTCAATAAAATGGGCAGCGTCGGTAAGCTTAGCCCTTGCCTGTGTCGCAAAGGCAGCGTTATCGCTTATGCATAGACGGCTTGCCGACTGTTGTAGCAAAAGCTCCATATAATTTTTTTTATGCACCAGCCGCTATGGCTTCTTGTTCTTAAGTTTAGTCTTGTATGAGCACTTTATACGTCAAGTAATATATATTATACGTTTAGTCTTGTATGAGCACCTTGTACGTCAAGTAATAATTATTATACTTGCTCCGAAACTTTGTCGTTAAATCTATTTGAATTTAATTACTGAATTACTGAGCCACAAGGCTGGTAATAGGAAATTAATTCCCATGCTAATCTTCGGACAGGTTACAATTTCGAAGAGAGCAGCCATAGACGCCGCTACAGTGAAGCTACATCAGCAACGTTCGTCGCGGGACAGGCAGAGTAATATAATTTGTATATGTATACAGAAATCCTTACAATTTGCCCCAGCTGCCGCAAGTACGAGGCCAGCAAAAACACGTTTGCTTTAATAACTTCTGTGTTTCTTAAACGATCTTGATGAAAATTTCAAAAGTAGATTTTATTGTGCTATAGAATATTTGATAATCTCAAAAGTCAATCGCATTAAAATTGTGGTTTATATAAATGAGCAATATAAATTGGTAGTAGCGGGGACGTGGTAGTAGCCAAAAAATTAAAGTAACGTAAAAAAAAGGATCATACCACCGAACTACAATAAAAATCGGAGCAAAAGTTTTTGTATTCAATCGCCAACGTTAGGACGCACAACGATTAACGGAGATTTTGCTAGCGCCTTTATGTACTATAATAATCAACTGTATGCAGCTGCGCAAGCAAGCGAAATGCATAGTACAGTCACTTGTTAACACAAATTATATTTTGTTGATGATCGCAGCACTTGGACAAAGGCTTATCTATGTACGTAGTAAACAAACAAAATAATAAAGTTCACGTCGGGGTCACCAAAATGTGTGACACACATTTGTGTGTATGTAGAGCTCGAAATTCAGAAATCCCAAAAACTTCAAATCTTGTCAAATTTGCATCGGACAACAGGCACACAGTCGCATAAAGGCTTCTATTCATATACAATATGTACAAGTGTGCGTGCATGGCAAGTCTAAAACATTTTAAAAGCGCACATGTCAACGCTTAGGTACCCTTACCAACAATAACGTCCCTTCAAAAGGTAAGAAATGCGTCCGACATTTGGGAAAAATTGAATTTGTGCGCATTGTTGCTTTTGCGACCACATACATTTAAACGATCCCTAGACATGAGAGCATTTAGAGCACTGAGAGTAAGCCAAAGCAGTTTCCTGTAGTGAGAGTGAAATAAAAACAGCGATGCCGTTCTGCCACGCAAGTCATATGTAATTCTTACTCTCTTGCTCTCTGAGCAAGTGAACGAGTCTCGGACCCGAACAAAAACTAAGTCGACTTGGACCAGTTGTCAAAAAGATGAATGTCCATATACATTTGTACTAGATGTCTCATCTATATGTTGTATGGTTAGGGGTACCACTAAGCATACAATTTATAGAGGGTTTAAAATGAGAGAAAATCGAATCAAGAAATCTTAATACGATTGATTTCCATGAAGGCTTGCGACAATTTTGTTATGCCCAGAGAGAAAAAAAACTTGAGAGTGGCAAGTAGTAGTGAACAACGCCGTTGGGGGATGTTTTGTCATAATATACGTATGTTACTTTTGCATTCCCTAAAGCCCAGAGACATATAAGTGTATGCATGTGCTGAGTGTGCCTCGTTCTCACTCATTGTTTTGTGCACTTGTGTCCGTCT